GGTGCCTTCCAATTTAGTTGGGCACCCAAACATTGCGCATGTGAAGGTAGAGGAGTATGCCTGTGAAGTTTTGATAGATACTGGTTCAATGGTCACCACTATCTCTGAAAACTTCTACAGAGCTTACCTCCCTCACTTGCCACTCCACCAAATCAGCTCATTACTAGAGGTGCATGGAGCTGGGGGAGCCAAGCTACCCTATTTGGGGTATGTTGAGGCTACAATTGCTATACCCCCTGACTTCATGGGTCAAGTAGTGGAGGTACCCGCACTCATCCTTGTGGTGCCCACTACCGACTTCACCTCTAAGGTACCTCTTATCCTGGGGACCAATGTCCTGCGTGCTGCTTGTGAAAGCAACCCTGGTGACAGGGTATCTAGGAGTTCTTCTCCTTGGACCATGGCTATTCAGTGGCTCAGTAGGCGTTGGAATGACCTGAACCGAACTGAGAATGTGCGGACAACTAAATCTATAACCATACCCCCGTCTTGCAACCAGATTATAACAGGTATTTGCAGGGGTAGTGCTCCACAGATTGGTATGGAGTTTTGTGCCACACAGTCCGTTCTTCCTGGTTCACTTACCCTCGTTACTGGTGTTGTTGGGTTTCAGTCTACCCACTCAACAACACGGGTCAAGGTTGAGGTCGCTAACCCGTCCACCAAGGCTGTTACCATTCCAGCCAAAACAGTACTTTGTCATTTGGAACAAGTTGCTGTGTTGGACGGCTTATCCCCTGAGAATGGCGTCAGTAATACTGGCTCTGTACCTACCAAACTACCAAAAGAGTTATTTGAACTGGACTCTCTGGGTGATAATCACACTCCAGATGAAATAACTCAATTGCGCTCTCTACTGAATGAGTTTGACGATGTGTTTAGCAAGTCTGATATGGACATGGGACATACTGACTTGGTCACCCATCGAATAGAACTCACAGATGAGACTCCATTTAAGGAAAGACATAGACGTATTCCGCCCTCTATGTATCAAGAGGTCAAGGACCATATAAAGCAGATGTTAGATGCTAAAGTTATCCGTCCATCTGCTAGTCCATATGCCTCGCCTGTTGTCCTGGTTCGCAAACATGACTTGAGTCTGCGCTTCTGTATTGACTATAGAAAATTGAACAGTCGCACAATTCGAGATTCATATGCTCTACCAAGGATAGAGGAAACTCTTGATGCTTTACATGGGGCAAAATACTTCTCTTGTCTTGACCTTAAGAGTGGATATTGGCAAGTCGAAGTGGATGAGGAGCACAAGGCCCGTACTGCCTTTACTGTTGGCCCACTTGGGTTTTACGAGTGTAACTCTATGCCCTTTGGACTGACAAATGCTCCAGCTACTTTCCAACGCCTGATGGAGAGGTGTATGGGCGACATTCATCTTCTCCAATGCCTCATTTATCTCGATGATATCATTGTGTTTTCTAAGACCTTTGATGAGCATCTTGATAGATTACGAGCAATCTTTCAAAGATTGCGCAAGAACGGGCTCAAGCTAAAGCCGTCAAAATGCCAATTCTTGCAGACCTCCGTTAAGTACCTAGGTCACGTAATCTCCGAGGAGGGTATCAAAACAGACCCTGAGAAGATTGAAGTATTGAAGACCTGGCCAATTCCACGTAATATCGAAGATGTTCGTCGTTTTCTTGGATTCTCCGGCTACTTTAGACGTTTTGTTCCAGACTACGCTAAAGTTGCCAAGCCACTAACCAGTTTGCTTGCTGGTCATGGCGGGAGATCCAAGCGCAAGATCAAGTCAAACCAACCATTTGTATGGGGGGATGCTCAACAGTCAGCTTTCAGTGAGCTTATTAGCAGGCTTTCTTGTGCTCCCGTTTTGGCTTTTGCTGATTTCACTCTGCCCTTTGAATTGCACATCGATGCAAGTGGGGATGGCTTGGGTGCAGTACTGTACCAATCCCAAGACAATCAAAGGCGAGTGATTGCCTATGCAAGTCGCAGTCTCAGCAAAGCCGAGCGCAATTACCCTGCTCATAAGTTAGAGTTTTTGGCTCTAAAATGGGCTGTCACCAAGAAGTTTCATGATTACTTGTATGGCAACTCATTCACTGTAAAGACTGACAATAATCCCCTCACGTATGTCCTAACTTCTGCTAAGTTGGATGCAACTGGGCATCGCTGGCTCGCAGAACTTGCTACTTATGACTTCTCCCTTGAGTATGTTCCGGGTGCAAGGAATGTTGATGCAGATGCTTTGTCCAGGTTGCCGCGTGAGTCCATGGACATTCAAAGTGTGTCTGCTCTCTGTAATGGGCAACTCATCTCATCATGTGCCGTGGAGACACTCTCCCTCAATCAGGAGGTGATGAATTGTATGTTGGCGGTCGATGGTATGGAACCTTCTGACGTTGTCGCTAGCCAACGGATGAGAACATATCAGCAAGCTGATTCCTCAATCTGTTCGATTTTGGAACTCATCCGTAATGGTACGCGTCCAACCAAGGAGGCTCTCAAATCCATGGACCGGGACACTGCATCCATTCTCAGGCAGTGGGACTCACTCACTGTCAAAGATGGCCTTCTCCACAGGCAACAACTTTCAGATGGTGTAGTACCCTACTATCAATTGATTGTTCCTCAGTCTAAAAGAGATGAGGTCATTACCCATCTACATGACGGCATGGGACATCTTGGTAGGGACAGGACCGTGGCTCTTCTCCGGACACGGTTTTACTGGCCGGGAATGATCACGGATGTGGAGAAAAGGATTCGCTGCTGCTAGAGGTGTATACTTCGTAAAGCTCCTAACCAAACTGAGCGTGCACCATTAGTTAGCATCCAAACCACTCAACCTATGGAGTTGGTGTGCATGGACTATCTCAGCTTGGAGCCCTCCTCTGGTGGTTATGAGAATATCCTGGTCATTACGGACCATTTCACCAAATATGCTGTTGCCATTCCCACTCGCAACCAAACGGCACGTACTACAGCCAAAGTACTGTTTGATCACTTCATTGTTCACTATGGCATTCCAGAGAAGTTACACTCTGATCAAGGCCGGAACTTTGAGAGTGATATCATCAAACAGCTGTGCAGCATATTGGGTATTCTCAAAACGCGGACCACTCCGTATCATCCAATGGGTAATGGTCTATGTGAGCGGTTTAATCGGACGCTCTTAGGGATGCTCGGCACTCTGGAGGAGCAGCAAAAGGCAAAGTGGAAAGATCACCTTTCTCACTTAGTTCATGCCTATAACTGTTCCCTCCATGAGTCAACGGGGTTCACTCCCTACTTCCTCATGTTTGGCAGACAACCTAGGCTGCCTGTTGACGCTGCTTTTGGTACATCACTGGCCAATATTTCATCACCAGCTTATACGCAGTTTCCTGCTGATCTAGAGCGCAAATTACACACTGCCTATGAGCTTGCAGCTGCAAACCTTGAAAGGGCTCAGGCTAAACAACGCAAAGCCTATAATCTTAAGGCACGCGGAGCCACACTCAAGGTTGGTGACGTTGTATTGGTGCGTAACGTCAACATACGTGGGAAGCAAAAACTGGCTAACCGGTGGGAAGAGGAGTATTACATGGTTGATTCTCAACCTCATGCCGACATTCCTGTGTTTAAAGTTCATAAGGAAGGAACCAGAGAATGTCGTGTACTCCACCGTAATCTACTCCTTCCCATTGGTACGAATGGTCAGCCCATACCCAGGCCACGGTGCACACCATCGACATCGACGACGACGACGACTACTACTACTTCTGTTTCAACACCATCTTCTGGCGAGCTTAAGGACACAAGTACTGACACAACACTGGAGATCTCAACAACCAACATGGATATTGAGAGTTCTCCTTCTCCAGTGTCGGTATCATCCCCAGTGTCAGGACTGCCACCAATCAGCCCGCCATTTGCAAGTGTGTCACCAGTAGTTTCACCATCCACACCAGCACCAACTGCACCAACCAGTTCTATCCCTGGCTCAGGACCGTCAACTCCACAGCCACCACCTCGGCGAGTTGGACGAACCCGAACAAAGCCAAAGTGGATGACAGATGGGCAGTTTGTTGTAAAACAAAGTGTCTGGGTGTGAGGAGGTAATTATACATTGCCGCTATTTAATGGCGAGGTCGCCATTTCCCAAAGTGGGGGTGTATGTAGCCGGGTGGTGGTGCTAACTCTGAATGAGTTATAGCCACATAAGTACCACCCACTTATAACCCCCCTTAGATTCATTCTATACATATATACATACATGTTCATCTATTATCACCATCACTTCATTCTGTGTTCATTATATGTTCATTATATGTTGTCCTTGTCTGCAGTTGAATGTCAGCCAACTAACACCAACCTGATACCCTTCTGCAGCCTCTGTAATTTCTCCAGCTTCACCTGGACTTCCCCCTATCTATTTTTAGACATGTCCACCACTTTATGTGACTGAAGCATCTTGACTTCCTTTTAATACCTGTCAGATGCTACCTTTCTTCTGATTGGCCCTTTGGTCCACTTCTTTAAACTTCCTTTCTCACCTGCCCTCCTCATGCATTCTGCATGAACTCTTTATGGAGGGAGGACTCTTGTTTACAGCTTCCCTCCCACCATCTACTACAAAAGAATAAAATCATCATCATCTTCAAGAACTGCCTCATGTTTTGACTAGCAGCCCAGTGGCTGGACACATCACACCACGCCCGGCTACACACTGATTTCTGTATGTCTCTGAAAGTATGGGATGTACTATGTTCTTAGCACTATGATTTCTGTATGTCTCTGAAAGTATGGGACGTATAATGCAATCAACTGCTTATCATTTCCCCTGAAACCACTGGACCAATGAAGCTCAGGATCTAAATGTTAGATTAATTACTTATTAATGATTATAAAGGATTAAAACATTTAAGATTTCAACCTGTTAAAGAATTGATGAAAGTTTGTCCAGATCATAGCTTGAGAAAAATTTGATGTTGGATAAAAGGCGATGTCCACAGACCTGACACACGCCTCTGATTGTATTGAAGGCTTGGCCCAGTGTGCAGAGCTGAGTTGGCAGCTGCGGGGTTTGGCCGGTGGCAGACAAGTGAACGGTGCACAGTTGGCTCTGCAGCACAATCTTGGCCTAGGTGGAGCAGCAGTGGTGGCACTCTACAGGATGGGATTCCCAGAGTATAGACAGTAGGTGTCACAGGCTGGTACAAGAGATAACTTGACAGATGTTCACATTTGACCATTCACATTCATTGTCAGGGGTGGCCAAAGTGTTCACTCATCACGCCCAAGACCTAGGTTCGATTTCCCACATGGGTACAATGTCTTAAGTCCATTTGTGGTGACTCCTGCCGTGATATTGCTGGAATGTTGCTAAAAGTGGCGTAAAACTGTACTCACTCACTTGCTCACTCATATATTGTTTGTCTGGAAATATTGCTGTGGTTATATGAGTGAACAACTTCAGCCACTAGTCTGAGGCCTGAGTATAGTACATGGTTATTTGGTGAAGAAAGCACTTACTATTATTACTGTTGAAGAAAACAGGGAAAGCCACTGTGAGGATAAAGTACTGTCAGAAATAGAGACTGGTTTTTGGAGCCCACTTGATATTACTTTAGGATAGACAATGATTTGTAGAATATGTCAAAGTAACAACTATATTGTTATTTTAGCCAGCCAAGCATTTAAGAAACTCTCATTGAAATGTTCAGATGCATTAACATGAAACAGCCAAGTGTGTGTTAACATGGGTCAAGTGGTGCAATGATGAGAAGGTAATATGTAATTTTTGTAGTTACTAGCTTAAAACTACGTTCGCAATGAACAGGCCACAAATAAATTTATTGTTGTTTCCAACAGTACCCACAACTGTTTTTGTTTGACTGTGATATGGATTGTATTATGTCCATACCATTATGTGTTACCCCTTAGGAGCAGCATATCTACAGTAGGAGCCAGTGCTTCATCGGAGGCCGACTTCAAATCAGCAGCAGCTTTCAGTGAGATCAAGAAGGCAATTGACGCAGTGAGTGGAGAAATGTGTACAATAATCTCAGGTGTAAGAGTCAGGAATGTCACATGACATAACTGTAATCCAATCTAAATCTGTGTAGTTCAACTGTTTTAGTTTAACGTTTAACTTGGAGTATGTGCTTGAGACAAGTTGTGATTCATTGGCTTTTCCGGCAAGAAGGAAGACAAGTTATTAAGAGCAAAGAATTGCTGAATTTAATCCAAATTTATGCAAGTTAGGGTGCCATGTTATCTTTGAAGGAAGAGGTGTTATGTGGTGGGTTATTATATCCCTGACCTAATATATCGGGTTTATGTAGTTTCACCAAGGAATTCTGGTCGTCTGTCCATCCTTCAGAGGATATTTGTTTGTTTGTGACCTATAACTTGAAACCTACTGCATAGCTTCTTTTCAAACTTAGTGAACACTTCCTATTCCAATAGGAGAGGTGCATTGTGAAGTATCAATATTTGGATTTTCTGAAAAAAATACAGCTATTTTTCAATTTTTTACTTATTTGTTTTTTTTACTTAAACATTTGTGCGACCTATAACTTGAAAACTAGTTAAACTACTGCATTTTTTTTTTTAATTTAGCCAAGTTTCCATACTGATAGAAGAGATTAATATTAATAGAATGTTAGATTTTGATATGTTGATTTTCTGAGAAAATATGAAATTTTTAACTTATCCTGCATTACTCCTGAATGCATTTACTGCTTGTTCTTGACAGAAAGGAGAAGTTGTTCCAACTGGTTGTGTGGCTAATCCTATCACACAACTCCAACATTACCCCTGAAGTGATGGGTCCCAGAGTGGTCGAACCTACTCATCCACACTCACAGCAAACTTCTTCACCTAAAGCCATAATCTTGGACGCGACGTTAAACCCCATTTCACCTCACCTCACCTAAAGCTAGGCAGATTTCATCTGCATGCTTTGTTCGTCTTAAAAAGGCGTTTAGCGCAAAAGGCTATTTGGTACATCAACCCTCTTCAAGGGGGTTATACAATGACAAGTGGCGTTTATTTAAAACCTTTTGTAAGGCAAAGAATCAAGATCCCATGACAGCGTCACCTCAATACTTAGCTGAATACCTCCTTGTGTACCGAAAGCCACTTGAAAGGTAGCGCCATTAAAACGTATTTGGTAGCGCTTAATTCAGTGCTGTCTGTTCCTGAGAATCACAAAATGACCAAGGTCTCAGAACTACAGACCCTACTGCACTCTTTCAGGCTTGAGAATCAGAAGGCCAAATTTCATCCCCTTCGTGTGATTTCCAGCCCTTCAAAACATCCTCCTTTTATGACCTCACCACGAAAACTACATTTCTCTTGGCATTAGCCACTGCGGTGCAGTTGAGAGAGTAACATGCACTTGACATCACCTGTGTCTGTTTTGAGCATGGTACCCACCTCAAGATCAACATTCACAAGACAGGACCAGATTTCACACCTCTCAAGGAGATCAACTTGCCCCTACACCGGCCATGTCACAGATTCTACACAGAACTCGGTTCACAGGGGATTGTCCATGTGTTGAGCTTGAACCTCATCTCAGGCAAAATCTCAGGCGGTATTCTAGATTACTGCTCAGGGTGATTTACATGTCACATGTCATGAAATATAAACATCACCGACTGAAATTAGGTCAACTGACCTGATGGGAACTGCGCAGTGTATTTGTACAGATTGGTTTGCATGCTTACTTGTACGTAATGCTGCAACCGCTCTATCGCTGCAATCGCTGTACATCAATGTGACCAAGTCACTAACTTCAGTAGACCTCTGATGCCAAAGCTTCATCGTCACCTCGATACAAGAATGGGAGCGTTTATACAATGCCCAGGGAATGGAAACAATCACCTTACTTCATAAGGAATTATTTACATTCAGCCTTATCTACTAGATACAGCGTCAATTTGATAATTCTTCCGTCAACCTCCGATGACTACATGCGAAATAAAAGGCATCTCCCTTCATCGTCACCTCGGAATAAGAATGGGATGGCAATGATCACCTTACTTCATCGGTGCGATCTTTCAGACCAAAGTTTGGGCTGTGCTGGGATTTCATTGCCAAGAATCACCGACCAGGACAGTCAGACCAATCCTTTTCCATCTCACCTTCATCATCAATTGTAGGAACCGAAGTCTCTTAATGTGCCCTGTGCACGCACCTTAAACTCTGCTTGGTACTCGGACATGACTTTTATTCCCGTCTCCCAGACGGAGGATCGTGACCTTGGAAGATGTTGAAGGCATTCACAGCTGGTTGTAGCCCAGCAGGTCACCAATCCTCATCGCCATGAAGAAGCTCCTCCTGTCCATAGCCGGCCCAATCTCACTAAAATCAAACCTTAGTTCTCGCTACCGCTAAACAAAGATCTGAGGACATCCCAGTAGAGGTCACATCAGAACGACCTTTCATTAGCGATTCCAGAATGTTCTTTTGTTCAGGTTTTATCTAATCGAGAATTTGTCAATATATGTTTTGAAGCGTTGTCGCCAATTTGAAATTAGTGCCATAAAGCACGAGAAAGCAGCCTTCTGATTGGTCATTCCATTGGTCAGTCAAGTTCGCGCAAGGTCGGTCTGACGTTACCCGTAATGGGATGTCCTCAGATCTTTGTTTAGCGTTAGCGAGAACTAAGATCTGATTTGAATGAGATTGTAGCCAGCCTTACCTGACTCTCCCAGTGTTCGCACGCCTGACATGGGTATTATTCTGGAAACCTGCAGTTCGGCTTGGTAAATCAGTTTTCTAGACTTGACAGCATGTTAGTTTCTCTTGCTGCTTTTTACCTGACATCCTCATACTCTCATACCATCTGCAGACAGGATTGGTCGAAGTAGTTACAGATCTGTGCAGTTGATGCACTCAACAACTGCCGTGAACTACTGGAGAATTTATTGTCACTGAGGACCGCATTTGATGGTATGCCCTCCGCTGTACCGCCAGATAAAGATGCATTAAGAAGTAATGCATGACAAGTTAAAAAATCTAGTAAAATCTAGATATTTCATATATCTTCCTGCTTTACTTTGTCGAAAGTGGCCCACCCATTGCAGAGCTGCCTCTCCAAGATGTCTTCAGATGTTACAATCTAGCAGTAATGTGATGATCACATGGTCACGTGGTAGCTGTGTGATGGGATTAGCCACACAACCAGATGGAACTTCTTCTTCAGCAAAACCTCACACAGCTCTTGTTTCTGTCAAGAACATGCTGTAAATGCATTAAGGAGTAATGCAGGATAAGTATACGAATATAAAAATAATAAATGGATTCTTTTCCAATTCAGGACACAGCTTCTATACACAGCTTCTATACCTATAAGCATGACAAGAGAGGCGCAGGGCAAAGTTTTAGTACTATAATGAGAAAATATTGCTTTTTTCATGTTTTGAAGTTAGAAATATGTTAAGAGTCGAAGTCAGGGGTATTAGTGAGCCCTGCTATGCTCATATCAGTCACTGGATTCTCTGGTCCAGACTTGATTATTTACAGACCTCTGTCATACAGCTGGAATAATCCTGAGTGCAGCATTAAACAACAAACTAACAAAGTGATCACTGCTCAATTTTGCCTTGTTCTATGACAAGTTGATCAGACAATTAACACATTTGGCCTCTGTGTGTATCATGTTCTGTTGGCAAAGAGTGTGGCTCAGTCCAACTCACTATTAGAAAGGACCCGTGAAGATCTGGGGTAGAATAGGTCTTCAGCAACCCATGCTTGCGGTAAAAGGCAACTACCTAGGGTATGCTTGTCGTAAAAGGTGACTAGGCTTGTCGTAAGAGGCGACTAACGGGATTGGGTGGTCAGGCTTGGTTGATGCACGTCATCGTATCCCAATTGTGTGGATTGATGCTTATGATGTCAATCACTAGATTGTCTGGTCCAGACTCGATTATTTACAGACAGCGTCATATAGCTGGAATATTGCGGAGTGCGGCGTTAATCAACACACACACACTATTACAAAGAGGATTGCTTCATGATGTTGTTTGTGTCTCTCCAGGATGGCAGCAACATTGTCAAGAAGATGAAGGGCGTGATCTGCTTCAAAGTGAAAGGGGCAGGAGGAAAAGAGGGAATCTGGATCGTTGACGCCAAGAATGGAAGCGGATCAGTCACATTTGGCACACAGAGTGAGTGAAAGGAGGTATTCCTGTGCTTGCATTTGTGATCAATATTTCTTGAATTGTTCCATATGTCCTAAGAAAAGTATGGAATTGTCATTTGTTTTGGTTGTTGTAGGTAAGTCTGATGTCACAATTGCCATGAATGATGAAGATCTGCTCAAACTGATGACTGGGAAGCTCAACCCACAGCAGGTATGTCACAAGAGACTCTTCTTTTTAGTTTGTTTACAGATACATTTCATCCCAATGGTCTGATGGAGGCCAGGGGTTCAATATATTTTTGAAAATCCACTTTCCCAAAGATAATTTAATACAGAAAAAAATAATTTCTAGTTGCTCAATTCAGTGAAAAACATTGATGATGTGACTGGTACCCTTGCAGTTGATAACGATTGTTTCATGGTTGCTTAAAACAAAGACATGGGAGGTGATAAGTTTTAATCCACATTTGTGAAAATTGCGGTAGGTTCTGTCCCTACATACCTAAACTGAAGCATTAAGAGGTCTAAAATGTTGTTTACTAGGCCGTTGACAGTGGCCACATACAATTGTGCTATAACAGTCCTGTGTGAAGGTTTGGTGTCATCGTGAAGCAATACATGCATTTCAATTCCTCCTTGCAGGCATTCTTCCAAGGCAAGCTAAAGATCACAGGCAACATGGCGCTGGCCATGAAGCTGAAGGAGATCCAACCCAAGAAGGCCAATCTGTGAGACACATGTCCACACCACCTCCAAACTGCGGGGCTATGCTACACACAGTCTGATCAGGCTGAATAGCATGAAGACTGATAACTCTTTTTATGCACAACATTCTTTGATATGATTGTAAGATTATTACGGTTAATAATGCCTTATGCCTACTGTGATGGTAACTGTCATAAAATCATTAAGAACAAACATGTAAATATATTTATGACATATATTGTACATATGATTGAAGACAGTTAATCAAGGATTATAACATTTATGGTAAGTTTGTCAGTGTGGAACTGTTTGTGATGAATGGGAGGTTTTGAGTCATTGTCTTGGAATTATTTTTGTCAGTGCTGTATTTCAACTTAGTCTAATAGTTCATTTCATAGCAAAATAGGATTTTTAACTGACAGTGCTTTCTTTGTCTTCATGAGATGGTTTCAATGTATAAATCTCACTTAAGTGTATGTCACATTATTCAGAGAACCATTTCAGCATACCTGTGAAATACTTTTTGAAGCTTTTTTTCATCTTGTCATACGGATGAACTATTTAAACAGTGTTTTGTGCTCTCGACACAGCTATTCTTATAAAGTCATGAACATTGTTGTAGATGTCATGACTATGCTGTAGAAGCCATGGCAGACGGTATTAGGTGCCACACTGATTCCAGAGTTGCATGAACGTATGTTGGTTGTTGCACAAGCACATATAACAGACAGACATATTTAGAAAAGTAAATGTTTATTAGAATCTGACACATCCATTTAACATGTGTAAAGCAAATTATGAACAGTAAATTAGTTTTGACTTCGATGAAATTTAATAATATATACATCTGTAACAAGGAAAGACGAGCATCACCGAAACAAACACACCATTATTGTACACCTTGAACTGCGTGCACTTATGATGATGATGGCCCAATCATAGGAGTCTTCTCGTTCTGCATCCACACCAATGTCACACACAGGCCCTTTTCATTGTAAGTTTAAAACAAAATGTGGTGATGAAAGAAGGGTGTTCACTGGATGGAACTAACAGCCTGTATATTTCCAAAATGACCAATAAATATTATCGATGATTTACTAATCCTCCCTTTTAAAAAACTGATAATACATCAAACTTCCATCTGTTCATACACAACAAATTGGTGATAAATGATTTTATTATTTGATCTCTGATTATGCCTAGCTGGAAATGAAAGAATAACCTGTTGTTGGTTATATAGGGTCAACAGATCCACAAATACTGCTGTGCAAACACAACTTGACCTTCATAAAAGCAAATTCCCAAGCTTTGCCGATGGCTATCTCTAAAATGAAGATAATGAAGAAATGGCCACGTTGTCATGGTATGCAGATCTGTATGTACATATATTTGTACTTGAGGAAAGTAGAATACTAAATCTGTTGAAAAGTATCCACTCCATACACAAAAGGAGAGACCCAGAGACCCCTGCAGTTAGCAATGGGCCCGGAGTGAGGGGTACTACCTTCAATGTGTTCACAATCACAGACTGCAGATTCCAACAACTAACATCGCTATGGGGGGGGGCTTAGCTCACAACCATTACAGGAGACTTCTACTAACAGACACATTTCACACAGGACCTCCACTGTGAGGACACTCCAACATATATCGTTATATGTGACCATGTACAACACACACACACTGAACAAATCAAGCCTATACTGTTTACATAAACAACTGGCGAACATATACACCGAATACTATCATACCAACATTCATAGCTTGCATACTAACAGAACATAATAACATACCAAGAGAAAAGAAGGAAACATTTGTATAATATAGTCGGACCAAATTGCTCCAGGGGTATTGTTAAAACGGTCCAATGTCCTGAATGTGACATGACAAGCGAGTGGTGATATTCAACAATCCACAACACACACATTGTAACAGAAAAGAACAAATAATTAAACCATTTCATTTATCTTCTGTAATCACTATCAACCTGACTCGCAAACCTAGCATCATCTTCATTTTGCAATATATATTTATAGTTTTGGGCCTACTACTCAAATCAGTAGTTGGACAACCAAGGAGTCGCGAGAATTGTCTCACGATTCACAACAGAGCCTTTGCTCTGACTTGGAATATCATTGGTGTGAATTATTTATGCATCAAGAAAAGGGATATGGACCAGGTTTTCTAGGTAAATTGTCTCCACTACAACTAAGTATGTAACATACAGGGTTAACATTTTAATGTCACATGACCAAATACTGTACCTTCTGACGGATATATGGAACTAAGTTTAAAATCTCCCAGCATCCCTCCTCCTCAATGTGCAGTACCTCACGTGTGTTTGATGTTGAGTTCATCGATCACTGCCACTCTTCTGCTGTCATCTAGCTTAATGATGAAGGGATGTTCACCCACTCCCAGCGTAGTTGGAATGTCAATGTGTAGCTCTGCGTGAACTTCAGTGTCTTCCTTCACGCTCTCCAATGTGTTACACTCATGGAGAATATTGACACGAAAAATTATCTCGTGAATTGCATCAATAACACTGAATCTAAAACAGTTGACAGAACTTGGCGTGACTTTCTGTGATTTTCTACGGAATTCTTTCTTCAGATTACTGCCTGACACCTCAATCTCTCCATTCACACCCAGAAAACATTTGATTGCAACAATATTGTCAAAATCAGCATATGCAGTTGGTCGAATAAAAATGTCTAATCCTGTGCGCCCTGACTCTGCCTCCTTCCCTTCCCGGTTGAGGAACTGTACACGCCCACTCAGCCTTATTGTTGGTGTAGGCTTGTACTTGGACTTGCTGATAACATACACAATGGGGCTGACAAGGACTAGGGCCTCTGTGCTGGCCAGAATGGACTCCTGCTCCTTCCAGAACCCCATCTTGACCCAAGCCCCTGGGTGGAACATCACCTCATCTCTCCTTTTGACCAACTCATTGACTTTCTCCCTGGAGAAGTGCCTGAACTGCTTCAAGTGGGACTGAAGGTAGTCCTCGTTCAAGTCAAAGAACACAGTATTTGGTGCAAACCTGTAGCATACATACATGAGGTCCTCGGACACCTTGACATCTTCTGGAGAGTGCCATATCATCAGGGCAGAGTGGGGGACAACATCAATCAGCCATTTGAGTTGAGGGACAGAGTTTCTGATGAGGGATAGACGAGCCTGGAAGACTATTGGCTGGTCGTCCACGTCCCAGGATTTGACCAAGTCCCGCATGGCCATCACCATCTCCCAGGAGTAGCCGCTCTGACTCAGGTCTGTGTGGGTGCCCGACGTCCAGCCTAGCGACAGGGTGCACTTGGGGAACACTCGCTTCACTGTTTTGAAGAACCGTGTTGCAACCACCGTGGCTTTACCACCATGAGGGCCTTGTAATACATCAGCATGGAGCCAGACTGGAAACTCTATTGTTTTCTGCAACATTAAAATACAGATTCACACAAGGAAGATGAGGACCGGTCATTGATATTATTGTGGCATGGGTCAGATGGAATCAGGGGAGGGTCACGAAAAATTCGGATAAAGATGCATAAAGGAGTAATGCAGGAAAAGTAAAAAATCAAATAAGCAAAGGTTACTATATATATACAGCCTTCAATTACAGAGAACTAACCAAGTTCACAATAATGGACAATAAGCATAAAATATAGGTGAGGTGAGGTGAAATGGGATTTAACGTTGCGTCCAAGATTATTGCCCAATATTATTGCCGCAGTTTAACATGAATACCCCACTCAGACACAGTATACTGACTGAGCCGACCAGTCCTTGCTTTAGCCCCTTAATACCGAGCGCCAGACAGGGTAAGAACAAATACCATCTTTTAACGTCTTTTGGTATGACGCGGCCGGGGATCGAACCCCAGGCCTTCCACTCTCAGGGCGGACGCTCTACCACTAGACCATGGAGGCGGTCCAGCATAAGTGAGTGAGTATGGTTTTACGCCGCTTTTAGCAATATCCCAGCAATATCACGGCGGGGAACACCAGAAATGGGCTTCACACATTGTACCCATGTCGGGAATCGAACCCGGGTCTTCGACGTGACGAGCGAACGCTTTAACCACTAGGCTACCCGACCGCCCCCGGTCCAGCATAAAAAAATAATAATATTACACTATAACAGCGGATAAAGTGCCAAAGATATTTATACACAATACCTAGCCAGCCTTGACATACAGAACAATATTTGCGAAGGACCGTGAAGCAATTCAAAATGGTGAAATGGAACGACACGTGAAAGACTATGACAAACTGTCATCTTCACATGCTAATATACATATTATTATCCCCCGCCACAATGTGGAAGGGGGATATAGGAATGGGTGCTGTCCATCCATCCGTCATGTTTCACTTCTAGGACAGAACTAAAATCACAGAGATGTCTAAACCAAACATGGCACATAGATCTAGTGACGAACTGGTGCCTTTTGATAGTTTGGATTTTAAAAAATATAATTTTGAGTTTCCATGGTAACAACTATGAATAAGATTGAAAATGGCGGTAGTGCCCCTTTTAGGGTCACATCTTGAAAACCGTACGATATTTCTTGCCTTTCACAACCGGACATTATTTCATGCTTGTTGCATATAACCTGTCACAGGGGGACTGATATGGGTTTTTAGATAGAAGTGTTGAAAGCCACAAGGACAGCAAACAGCAAAAACTTGAGGATCATTTAGCAGCACATGTACATGTGTTCTGTATGGTGATGAACAATGATATGAAGAAATCGGGCATCTACCACTTCCGGTATGACGTGGCAGCTAGTGATTGGGAGGGTCCTGCTTCAGAATAGAACAACACCTTTTCTTTCTTCAGCAGGATCAATCATAGCTTCACTTGTGTTAAAAGGTAAGCAGTGAATGCATTAAGGAGTAATGCAGGAGAAGTTACAAAAAATATGAAAAATAATACACATATTTGGTCATGAAAAACTGGAAAATTTGGCAAATGAACTGTCTAAGTAATTCTTTCTCTTTTGAATATGATCAGTATTGCAACAATATATCATAACATCCAATGAATGAAAACCCCAATAAGCATGTTTCTTTGTTTGTATTAATACAACACCATCTTCTGAACTGAATGAAAAACAACACAAAAGAGTTCTGGTCTAACCTGCGGCTTGTCTGTTCCAGATTATGACCTAGGACATTACGGCACTTACCTTTTCATTCATCTGTTTCAGTTTCTCTAGTGATATCTCCACACTGTCGATGGACGTGAAGTCAAGCTTGATGCCCTTGTTGCCGAACTTGAGGGCATCAAGCCACTCTGTGAGCGTGACGTCACTATCTGTCTGCGGAGGTTTCCCCATCACAGGGACAAGGGACTGCACCTTGGTGCCCTGGCCCCTCAGGATCACGTCCCCCTCCACCATGTGGACTGTTCCTAAACAAGTAAAGAGTAACTGTATGTTCTGCTATGTAGGAGACACCACAACTGTATGTTCTGCTACAGCTGCTATGTAGGAGACCCACCACAACTGTATGTTCTGCTACAGCTGCTATGTAGGAGACACACCACAACTGTATGTTCTGCTATGTAGGAGACACACCACAACTGTATGTTCTGCTATGTAGGAGACACACCACAACTGTATGTTCTGCTATGTAGGAGACACCACAACTGTATGTTCTGCTACAGCTGCTATGTAGGAGACACCACCACTGTATGTTCTGCTACAGCTGCTATGTAGGAGACACCACAATTGTATGTTCTGTTTCAGCTGCTATTTAGGAGGCATGCCACAACTGTATGTTCTGCCATAACGGAGACACGCCACAACGGTTTGTTCTGCTATGTAGGAGACACCACAATTGTATGTTCTGCTACAGCTGCTATTTAGGAGGCATGCCACAACTGTATGTTCTGCCATAATGGAGACACGCCACAACTGTATGTTCTGCTATGTAGGAGACATCACATTTGTATGTTCTGCTACAGCTGCTATTTAGGAGGCATGCCACAACTGTATGTTCTGCCATAACGGAGACACACCACAACTGTATGTTCTGCTATGTAGGAGACACACCACAACTGTATGTTCTGCTACAGCTGCCAGATAGGAGACACTACAACTGTATGTTCTGCTACAGCTGTTACAAAACAACCTATCGTATGCAGGAGTCCTGCATACATTGGATATTGTATATAATCTGGCATGTAACAAATACCCAAAATTATGTCCTCTGATTCACATTAGTCCACACTTTTTTCATTTTCTGTTTCACAAATTTATTCCAGCTTTTCCACACAAGGTCGGTCGAAATAAAGATTGACTGATTGATTGATATATCTGAAAGTCATTCTGCTGTGGAGTAAAAACTGCAGGTGGCATCTTGAATAACTGATAGAAGACATGGAATTTATATAACATTGTACAATGTATGAGAGGGTCTATATTACTTGTGGGAGACATAATACAAATAAATAAAAAAAGTTTTTATTTATTTCTTAGACTGGCTGCTTTTCAGTAAAGTTGATTGGCTTGTGAAACGAATTAAAAATAATGTGTGGCCTCAGACACAGGTTTTATATAACATGATATAATGTATGGGTAAACAATGTATTTTAACCTTCCTAAGCACTTAACAGAAATGCCATAAGGTGTGGTGAAAGAAATGTCCCTTGTATGATTCAAGGACATACTAAAGGACAAAATGTACTCCTCAGTTGCTCTCAACATGACTCAACATTAACTTGTGATACCTTTGATTTGGGGTAAGAGTGACCTTCAGATAAGGCAAGGGCCCATCCTTGAAACCAACATACATATAGTGTTAGCACTACCTTTGACTGCAGCATCCAGCTTGGCCTTGGTGTTAACTGCACGAGCCCACTTGATCTTGCTCCCATCATCCTCCGCATCTCCGAAGAACATAAGGACATGGACATCAGGGCCGACCTGCAGGAAGGGCAGTCTTGGACGCAGAAAACTTGGTATCAATCCTGGAAACAACAAAAGTAGCAAATGTAATTTCTGGGGATAAACACTACTGAAGGCCAGGTCACCTCATGCAGTACACCCTGTCGCCACAGCATGATTTGTGCAGGTCACCTCAAGCAGTACACCCTGTCACCACAGTACAATTTATGCAGGTCACCTCAAGCAGTACACCCTGTCACCACAGCATGATTTGTGCAGGTCACCTCATGCAGTACACCCTGTCGCCACAGCATGATTTGTGCAGGTCACCTCATGCAGTACACCCTGTCGCCACAGCATGATTTGTGCAGGTCACCTCATGCAGTACACCCTGTCGCCACAGCATGATTTGTGCAGGTCACCTCAAGCAGTACACCCTATCGCCACAGCATGATTTGTGCAGGTCACCTCATGCAGTACACCCTGTCACCACAGCATGATTTGTGCAGGTCACCTCAAGCAGTACACCCTGTCGCCACAGCATGTTTTGTGCAGGTAACTGCATGCAGTATACAGTTAATGCTTGCCGGAGTAGTGCCCTGTTTACACAAGATAGTCATTGTCCATATTTACTCTACTAGTGAGTGAGCAATATTCCAGTAATATCACGGAGGATGTACCCTACTAACTCAATCGAGACAATAATGGATTACAATTTCTTTTACTCATTCTCGCAATGGTACAGTTACTAATATCACTGGTATCAAGATTTTATGTGATCAACTTATAAGCAGTACATGTTTAGATTTTAGATCTCATTTTAGAAAGAGATTTAGAAAAATAACACATGTGCTTGACGAGGGAAGAAACCCACACCATGGTTGGATAGGTTCACATTAATAGACACATCAGTCTACAGGACCTTATCAACTAACCTCACACAGGTCATCACCATTGTATCTGTATGTATCCCCAGACACACTGTTAGGCTATCCGTATTTCTTGCTGCTTTCCCACTTCCTCCCGCCCTGAACTTACATTCTGACGAGAAATAATATGAGGTTTTCTTATGTCGATTTCCCTGCCCCTGTGGCAATAAATGCCCCAATGTGATAAAAAGAAATACTCCTTACATTGCACACTCACAAAAAAACAAGTCAGCTTGAGCTTTCTTCAGCTATATTTATCAACAATTTGTTTCCGAAGGAAACTCCCAACATTTCCCAATCTACGTCAGAAATTAATCTTAAGACCATTACCATGATTATCAAGTGTTTATATTTTCATATTTTTATTTATTTTTGTTTGCCCATCCTCTCTCTTGCTGGTAGAGGTAGGAGATAAAAAAAATTCTTTTTAAAATGGCTGGTCTTATAATACTTGTATTGTGCCTTAATAGCTTCCAATCTCATTAAAATCTGATCTTAGTTTTCACTACCGCTAAACAAAGATCTGAGTACATCCCATTATGGGTCACGTCAGAACGACCTTTCGCAAATTTTGACCGGCCAATGAAATGACTCTCAAGAAATCGACATCAGCCAATCAGAAGACAGCTTTCTCGAGCTTTACGACACTAGTTGACTACGCTTCGAAACATATTTTGACGTATTCTCGATTAAAAATATTAAAACTGATAAGAAGAACATTCTGGAATGGCTTAAAGTGAGTGAGTGAGTGAGTATGGTTTTACGCCGTTTTTAGCAATATTCCAGCAATATCACGGCGGGGGACACCAGAAATGGGCTTCACACATTGTACCCATGTCGGGAATCGAACCCGGGTCTTAGGCGTGACGAGCGAACGCTTTAACCACTAGGCTACCCGACCGCCCCTGGAATGGCTTAAAGATGGCCTAGATTGTATGGATATAATCATAAAACCCGTAACTGTTGTTCAGAATACCCTGTGTTAAATTTTTCGTGGTTGCATGATTAGAAAACACATTCTGACTGTCACTTTCATGATCTGGTAAGCGAAGCTCTGATGAAAGGTCGTTCTGACGTGACCCTTAATGGGATGTCCTCAGATCTTTGTTTAGCATAGCGAGAACTATATCTGATTTTAATGAGATCAAATAGCTTCTGACTGACCAATCAGAATCGAGTATTTTCCAAATTCATGGTAGAATGCTTGTTAACTCTGTATTCAGCAATATATTCCAGCTATGTGGCCTGTAAATAATAAGGTTGAAACAATGCACTGAAACAGATATACATTGCCATACATGTCCTTCAATACAATACAGGATTAATATGGACCAGTGTTGTGATACATGACAGTAGAGAATTCTTATTTTGGGGACGGTTACCAAAGTTTTTCTACATCTAGAGATGAAGTGACTGTCATGTCAGTTTCTGTATGTTTTCTTTAAAATGAATAAACATGACCTCTATGTTGTTATTCTGGTGTCATGAGATATGAATTGTGACTATGCAGTGTACCAAGCTACACAATTTATTGTGGCCTTCCGTGTCTTTGCACCCCTGGCAAATAATCGGTCTGGACCATGCCAAACCATTCATTGATATTAAGTGCAATGTCCTATGCCATCTGCAAATGATTACACGCAATCTGTCAAGTCATACAGAGCCTGACCACCCACCCAATCCACTTAGACAAACACAGGTTGCTGGCGACCTATTGTACCCTGGAATCACCATGTGGCGTAAACAGAAGACATTGTTGGTGTGTGCTTTATTTAGTTTCACATCTGATATTATTCTGCACAAAATACTTGAAACAATTCAAATGTGCACCTATTAACTAGTGGTGGGACGATACACCAATGCATTGATGGAATGCGATTTTTTACTTCTCAATACCAGTATCAATCACAGTGGCACACTAAGTAAAATATATTGATTCATACCTTAAATGTTTTCTGTAATAATCGTTACACCAAAAACTAATTAGTTGTGAAAATTGGAAGTGAAAACATAAATACTTTCTTCCATTATGCCATACCTGACACTGCCAACTGCAAATCATCAGTGTGCCAGGTATTTGGCCATCCTGTCCATGAAACAGATGGCTTACGCACCACAGATAAGAGCTCATGCATGTATCATGATATGTATCAGATCTTGAACAAGGTATTGTGAAACGTATCGGTATCGGATGGCACAGTTGGTGTATCGTCCCAGCCCTAGCTCTCCACTCTGGACTCCATATGCCTTCCACTACATGTCTTGCCTGTCCACTTCAAGCCCAACAGTGACAACAGAGACTGCATGACTGGGTGTAGTAGACAATAGTAGGAAATGTTGCTTGATATTAGAAACGTGCCCTTCATATTTACTGTCCATGTCTGATGATTCAAATTTCGCTCACAGTGAACTAGGCCCTAAGCTATAGGCTAACTAGGAAACGAAATCCCTGAATCTGGAAAAGTTCAGTTATTAGCCTAATTAGAAAACGATATGATAATTAAAAATAGAAGGAGCATAAGTTTTGTCGATTTCCTCATCATTCAACTTGTGTTGCCACTGTTATCAAATACGGAAGCCAGTTGGTCATTTTCAATTTTGCACAGGGCTCAGGTAACTTCGTCTGATACTTGTGATAGCATTAGGAGGCCTACTACTCGACAGGTGCGCCAAACCAGTACAAATTATGCACAATTTCCTCACCTCCATTTAACTGGTACCACAGATAAAGAACAAAAATAGCTACAAAGATCTGCACTCCCAGGTATTTCTTCAGGTTTCGTGTGGAAAAAGTTTGCATATTTGCAGATGAGTTGACATCAAACACTTGGGAACTTCCGCCAGATATTTGTGTCATGCTCGTCACGTGACCGATCTATATCCGGCTGAAGCAATGTAGAGATGCGCTCGTAAAATATGTTAGTGATTGTTGAAAACTCGATCGATTGTTATGATGTTTAATATGAACAGTGTATAAAATTTCCCCCTAAATCAGTCACACCACCAGAGTGGCAACTTTGCAAACTTACTTGACCAGATAATCTTTTTCCAGTCCAGTATTTTCTAGACTAACGAAAAAATGTAACAAAAGGGTAAACATAAGAATAGAGCTGTTAATGTTAGTTTTCAGAAAAAACCCAATAAACTTGCAACCTATTAACTTTAACTCCCGACCATCTGGCGTGCAACTTTTCAAAACTGACAGTCCTTCCGCAAAATAGTTTGGCTTATTAATGCTTTCATTGCCATCAACAAATCAAGTTTCTCGCCAAACCCCGCTTTTCTGATTTTCAGATAAAGTAGCTAATTTAACCAAAATAACCATCACAGACATCTATCGTATATCTGTCGAAAATTACCTTTCATGCGTTTTCGATGGCGTCTATAAAACATCATCAAAAATGTGGAGGGTGTTTGGGGGACAACTCACTATGGGTGTGCCCACCATTTTTGCGACGATACAGGCGAGGCAGCGGCGGCGGAGCATCGAAGACACTAAATGATTAAATAAAAGCCTGGGAGATGTTGTTCCAAAGGTCAAATAAAGGTTGGCTCAATTGAGCTAGAGTTACTGGCTGGCTCTGGCCCTGTCGTAGGCGTCGTTCCATCTCCCCCAAGACATGGGGGTGAGGTCTGTAGATACAGGGCACGGCAGAACAGCAATGTTAAGCTGCCTCACAAAGGTATGTTACAACATACATGTGCAACATGTTGTCTTGCAGCGTGATGTTACGTCCCTGCATTTGCACAAAGGGTAGATATCATGGTCTCGAACGACGTCGTCCCGGTAGAGTACGCCTTTCAAAATTGCCATTGACAATGATGAGTTGTGATGCCATCCCATGCCATTATACTTCCACCCCCAAACTGACGACGCTGAGAAAAGCAAGCGCCCCTAAAACGTTCTCCTTTGGGCGTGTAGACCCTTGCATGACAATCAGAGCTGTCCAGATGAAATCTAGGCTCATTTGTGAACAATACACTTGTCTTCTGAAACTAAGATGCTGTCTACGTCAAGCTAGGCGTGCCTGGCGGTGACATGGGAGAAACAATGCGCGTATCACTGGACGTCGGGGCCGGATGTTATGCTCCCTTAACCTGTTGCGTAAGGGTCTTCCACTAATTGATCTCAACCCCGGAATTATCTCAGCTGTTAATATGGCAGTTTGGTATCGATTCCATTGATGCAACAACCGAATATGGTTGTCTTGTTGGCGTGACGTCATGGACGACCGCCCCGTGGCAAGTCATGAGTGTTGCCCACGTAGTAGTAGATAACTACTCCAAAAAGATGATATTGAGTTTCGATGAATATTAAAAACCAGGCTCCCAACAAACACGCAAACATCCAAACTGTGCGCCGTGCATTAACATGCAAGTGCAAGTTGTGTATCACGACCTTTAAGCCGAACATATGTTGACTGCACACCCTATCCCCTGCCTGTTACCTTTGTCATTTTAATGGAATAACCCCAAGAAGTCTGCTGTGGAATCTTTCCAGATTGATGTTTGTTCTCGGACCTATCGTTGAGTGATGGTTCCACAATGGCAGCAGGAATCGTGCTCCGTCGTCAACCCAGTTGACAACCACATAGTCATTGAATTCAACAGCTCTGGGAACGTTGGGAGTGCCATCCATGGCTTCGATTCAGGTGTCTTGAGTAACTGCTTGTGGAAGCAGAGGCAGTCCAGCAGCTCTTCCTTCTATGGCGGTAGAGGGCGCTGCTCGTGGATGGAAAGGCAGGCAGGCAGGATACGAGTTTCTTCTGGGTTGTAGTTTGCTAAAGTACTGTCGGAAATGCTAGAAAACTGCTTTTCTGGCTTTTCTGGCCAAGATAGGCACCACAGGGTTGCGCTCACAATGTCTGACTGGCGTACGTAAGACAACGTAACCGTGTTGTGCCGCCAGCACATATGTCTTGTACTTTAGAAGGTTCTTATTCAGCCGAATTTTCTCCATGAGTTGAACTTTCGTTTCATATGGTCTGAAGTCGAGAATGCCATATATTCCTGTATGGTCGCCTTCAGACTATTCATGGTTTGGGCGACAGTATGTGATTCCCGGACGTTATTTAACACTGGCGTTATTTAAAATGGGCAATAGCTGAAGTTCCAACCTGTCTCTGAACACATCACCTCCTATAATTTCCTTATGAAAATCACCAGTTTTCTTTTTCGCCTCGAAACCTAGCACTCATCCATAAGACCCATTTCATGGGACTCATATCGTAGACTTGATGGCATGAAGTGAAAACTCCATAGCTTGGGCAGTTCGGTAATTCCCCCTATCTAAATTAATAAATGTTTTCCCTCTATCTCTCTAAAGTGTAAAGAACTTGTATACATTTCCCAATACAGACTCCATATCGTGTACCATGGTTATGGCTATGCAAGTGTAATGTAACATGCATCATGGGAGCAATGTTAACAAAAAACGCAGCGTCATTTTGTCATTTTAGAAGATGCATATCCAGAATTTTCTCAAAATGATTTGTGTGGATTAGATGTTTTATAAAGACTACATTATTATCATTATAACGGATTATAGGGCGATCGGTAGTTACTTGATATTTCAGTAACAACAGTCTGTAAAAAAATATATCTTTTTTTAACAGGCAAAAAGCAGTTTTCTCGCATTTCCGATAGTACTTTAGTTCTTCGTTGTACAGTGTGTGCATCTGTGTTGTTTCCTCTCTTGCTCTCTTCCTCAAGTTGTTGACAAAGCGGACTCGCTGTATCTATTCTTGAGGATGGTTGTGTTCTGTAGAATTCCTAAGGATATTACCAACTGTGGTCACTTTCCCTTTACATGTGGTTTTCACATGCTTCCAGTGAATACAAGTCCGTCTCTCTACATTCTTGGTGTGACGATATCCATTAAAAAAACTTGTGCGCTTCCTTTCAGTGAAAAAATAAACTAAACATTCTGGAGACCGGCCATGTTGATATGCAGTCATTTTTTGACAACGCTTACATACCACAGCTAACGTAGTCTTAATACAATTGGTTGAAAATGGTTTATTTAAATACTTAAGGTACATTCATCCTCCAACCTTTACTAGGTTTGAAATCAATTCTGTATGTACCGGAACAGTGTTAAAATAAGCAAACCTGCTTGTTCACCAATTCAGTTTTTTTTAGAAATATAATATGTTTAAACAAACCAATCTTGAGTTAATTAATATAATCTTTTACTGAGTTTCAATCAATCTTTCCAAATGTTAATCCAACTTATCTTTACTTGGTTCATCCTCTACTCCCATAGATTAATTAGTCTTTGGGACTGTTTCATTATAAGTAGGTGAAATCTCTTTGTTGTTTTAAGCAAGTGTAGGGGTACTGGGCTGTAGGGGTACTGGGCTGTAGGGGTACTGGGGTGTTTTGGGAGATAACCCAAAGGAATATCCACATGAAAATAATAAATATCTGACATTGGACACCAAATTCGTTTTGCCTTTGTCATCAAGAGCTTTCAGTAGTTTATAACATTGGTAAGGATATCTAAAATAGCTTCGCTGGAAGCATATTTTCCAGCCATTAAATGGCGCTTAAAGGTGGAAGCATGTACATTTTCAATAGCGTCATATATTTTGCGCCCCATATGTCTGCTTTACAGAGCAAGATTGGCGCGATGTTGCCGTCACATATAGTACAAGCTGTAGAAAGGGATACATGTATATTTTGCTATATTTATCTAAATAAACTTCCAATCCCATCTACTGCAAAAAGAATGTAACACATTCAATTGTTTCTGTAGACCATTAACAGAGTATGAAAACATTATAATATCATCAGCAAATAAAAGTAACATTAAATCTCTTATATCTTGTGTGGCAAACACACCATAATGACATTCGTTATATATTTCTGTGAGGAGCTCATTAATGAAAAAAATGAACAAAACTTGACTTAATATACAAGTAAATATAACATTTTTTCTCTATCAACATAATCGAAAGCCTTTTTGAAATCTACAAATGCACGATAAAAGAGACCCGTAGGTTTGCATAAATATTTGGAACATAAAGCTTGCAATATATAAAGATTGCCAACCGTTGAATAGTTTGGGCGAAAACCAGCCTGAGATTCAGATAGAAGATTATTCACACCCAACCAAACTCTGAGACGCTTTTCTGTAATAAAAGTAAACAGCTTTCCCGTTACATTTAAAACAGAAAAACCTGTAATTACTGGGCTCAGACCTTGTAGCCAGATTTGTACAATGGTAATATCATACCAACGTTCCACGACTCCGGAAACACTCCAGTCTTCATAATTTTATTAAACAATAATTGTAAATATGGTATAAGAATGTTGCTTGATAACTAAAAAAATCCGCTGGTATTCCATCTTCACCGGCAGATTTACCAGCTTTCAGATTTTGTAATGCACACTCAATCTCTTTCTCTGATATTTCACCTTATAATAGATCATCTGTAAGTGGTAACTCGCATCTTCCCGAGGCAAGTGAGTTAACTGACTATAAAAGTCCAGTTTCCACTTTTAAAGTCAGTTAACTCTTTTGCCTCGGGAAGATGGGTAACTCGTTGCAGTCTTCACGTGAATGGGAATGTACAAACTGGGTTACATAGCAATCAAAGGGTTTGGCTTCCAAGTTATTAAATGCGGGCTTAAGTAGATCTTTATAATAAGTGAACCAGATATCTGGTGACATGGAGTAACTAGATTTATTTCTTTGTATCGCCCTTTAATGAATTCCAGAAACGTTTACAGTCTCCATGTTTAGCTTTATACCATCACAGAGTGAGGAGACACTCGTAAAATATGTGCCCCTACTCTGATCCTTATTTTGCTGTTGTGATTGCGTTAGAAACTAAACAAATCCAAACGATCGATTACCGTTTAAAGTCATGGCCAGGATAAACTTGTAAAACCATAATTAGTCATATTTTTATTTGTTTCTCAAACAAACTTTGTAACCACAGTTCTCACTAGAGCCTGACTGTTTTACTGCATCCAGCTGTTCCTGTCCATCAATTATATACCTACACAGCAGAAATGTCAGACAAACACGCTGTGATATGTTCCGGGGATAATGACTTCTGCGCCGACGTGTTCACCATTGACATGTTTTATTTCCACGTAAAATGACTTTGGTATAAAGTAACAATGAATCACAGCAGACCTGGAGTGGAAGTTCTCCTACTTCCCCAATATCGGCCAGTGTTGTAGTCAATGTGATTTTTACAACAATGCATCTCGACGCGTTAATAGTTTAACTAATTACAACCAGTGGACCATATCAACTTTGAAGCTGGTGTATATATTGTCAATCATGTAAAAGGCTACACATCGAAGCATGTCATATGTTAATCCCTTTGTATTTTTTTATTTACTTCGTGTTCTGGATTTAGGAACAAAGTGATCAATAGGCGATCTACAACATACGACTCTATACCTTCTAGTCAAATAAGGCCGCCAACTAATCATTTGCTCTTCTGATTTTATACCTAAAATAGGAAGTAGTTTTTGTTTCTTTCCCTGACTGACAAAATAACCGAGGAGCACAATGAACTATACCTCTCAGGAGAATATATCATATGTTTGACCTTCAATTAAGAGAGAAATGAAGTTAGAGATATTACGTAACAAAAATTAACTGTACTGGCGCTTCGTCAGCACTCAAAGAATATTTCCATATAGTTTTATTTAAAAGAATTTAATTTGATTTAAAACGTTTATGAATTACAAAAATGCATAATGCACAACTGCTGGTTGGTATCTTAGACACCTTGTCTTTGAAAATAAAAAGATTTGCTTTTTCCGCCACAAATGTACAACATTTCAAACACGGTAGCGGTCATGCGGTTGCCCCAGTATTCGTGGAATCAATCTATATTTACACAAATGTCCCCAGCCACAGATTACAAGTTACAAACTGATACAGGAAGGAGTGATGGTTAAATAGACATGATCAAATTTAACAACAGTTCTTTCAAACCCTCGGTACACTGTACTTTCTTTTGCCCCTCATGTTAGATTGTTTTCTCATGTGGCAGATATTAACTGGCGAAATACCAATCAATAGGTTATGTTGATTTTATATATTAGGATTCTCGTCTTTCTATTTTACAGATAAACTGCTGGGCAAAAGAAAGTATGCATCCATACTATGTCTGATGGTAGCTAAAAATGAAACAAACAAGAAACGGTTAATGGTAATGTATTTGATACGGGTATCATAGTTGTGTTTCTTCGACTAAACGTTTGCACTGTTTCAGCCTAGAAACATTTTCATCATGTCTGTAAGTTTTTGGTCAAATCCAAGTCTATACGTTTCTTTTGCATGACATGTTATTATATTTTTGCAAACAAAACGTTTAATATCATAACGTGTTCTTGCGCAATCATAGTATCACCTCAGAAAAGTTAATCAAATCAACCTGGAAATGGCCAAGATGTACAAGACATAATTAATTTGCTGTAAGCCTTACTGAAGCACATGCCTGTCAGGTTTCTTTAAACTTTCAACAGAATACCATGAATATAGAGTATAGAGTGACTGAGGGAGTATTGCTCCACGTCGTATCAGCAATGATTGTGATTATTGCCAATAATACATGTTAATAGTTTTGAAATTTACACCTCACGAAGGTTCCTACAGTAAATGGTGTGTGTGTGCGGTACATCTGTGAAACCACGGGCGACTGTGCTACAGGCCCCGTACACACGTGACACTAGTTTCCCGCCCTCTGTCATAAGCATATATTCGTAGACACGGGCTGAAGACTGTCTTTCAGAGACTGCCCTGACAGAAACTAGTTATTGACAGGGCTGTGAAAGCCTTAAATCTCTCCCCTGTCACGTATCGTTCATATTTACACTGGTAAAAGACTGTTGTCAAAGGGAGTGATTATGAATACGAAAACATGGGATTAGAATATTACAGTCTTTTGATGTGTTTATTGAATGTTCAATGATGTGTCTTAGTACACGTACGCATAAACGTCGGATGTATAGAACTGCCCTGTCACGAGGCTTGTTTCCATACAGTGGCAGAAACCAGACGACCTATCAGAAAACATATCTTTGAATTGAACCAAAATCTTATGTATATAAAAAATTGATACTTTTGGTATTGTATTCATTAAATAGATCTAAACAGATTATTTAAAACATTTGCGGACTAATTCTGGATAATGATTCGAATTAAAATTTAACCTCTCTATTCTATTGGAATAAACGTTTGTTAAAAAATATTTCAAGTTATTGTCCTGATGGATAGTTAGCTGTTTTTGAAACATGTCTTATATGTCTAACACAAGTTTGGAACAATCTATAGTATCACAGAAACAGCATGTTCACTCTGGTATCTGCATTTGTACACAATGTTCAGTTCGACCTCAGTAATCTCTACACCCGCTAATGAACACGTGGAACAGATTACCTGTATACCGTACAAGTGTAGCTACTGGTGACAGCCAGTTCTCTATCAACAGCCAGTGTAAAGCCTGTTGTTTCTACAGTACTTAAGTGTTCGAGGTGGCTGTGGTGGTGATAAGGCAGGTATTTAAAACTATTTAAACAGCAGCCGGTACACTACTCTATCTGTTACCTTCAGAGTTTCACTTTGAAGAAATCAACCCCCCTATTCGCTGAACACCCGATACTCAACTTGATACAATGAAGTGCGATTTGAAAGGAGAGAACATTGTCACAATAATGATAATCTTATCTGCTGTTCAATAACTGATAACCCAATCAGGAGGGTGATCGATACCCGGTTGCCATGGCAGCAGCCAAGTGGGTGAGGGTAGCGCTTGAGCGGCAGACTTGAAGTACTCAAGTGATTTATATGGTAATTATCAGGTAGAGGCGGTGTTAAGACGCCCATGCTAGAACGCACAGTTGGAGATCATATCGTAGCTATTAGACTGGTACTCCTGCCTTGTGTCCGAGGACAGAAGTTTACGGTGTAACTAGCAAGAGATAGGCGCTGTCTCCGATGACAAGTAATAGTTGACTGAGCCGAGACTCGACTGTCATGGCAAGTGAGCAGCGCGAGATTAAGTTAGTGTGAGGTGGAGACATGTCGGATACCTGATTCATTCTACGTGGACAATATGACTTCGAACGTTTGTGTTGTCAAAATTGGTAAGTTAATTGTATTAAATAATAATTGCTTTATATTTATAATAAATCATATCTGATTGTGTTTATTGGTACTTTTTATGATTTATAATACCTATTTCTCATAGCCATGGATTCTAGAATAATTAATATAGTGCCTGTTTCAGTCCAACTTCTAATAGTGTGTCATTATCTCAACTTTTCAAAAGACATTAAGTGAATATGTTTATCTTTAAAGTTATTAATTTAATCACAATTTGCAGATTAAATGAATTGGGTGACATTAAAATAATTTCCCTTTTGCATATTCTGTATATCAAGTCAATCAGACTGGGCAATAATCGTATTTAAGAGGATTGCTTTGAAAAAAAGCCATGAATTAATCTAACTGAAGACAGTGTGAAATGTACAAAGTCTCACATCTGAAACAGTCTGGAATACCAATAAAATGTAATTATAATCTATTACACAAATACAGCACAGAAGAAACTATTCAACAGAAGCCATTCGAGTGTCACACTGTAAAAATATAACCAGGAATACATCCAGTCATATAGCCTTACAGTGTGTATTGTTGCCTGCCCTGGTGGGTCCCGGCATGGCTAGAGCTGTCACACCAGTATTGATTGCCAAGACATCCACAGTGAGGTGCCTGTCACCATCCCATCTCGTCACCAGACATAACGCCACACTGACCTGGTAAAGAAAAGAATCACCTGTCTCCTGGAAACACAAGCAATGAACTGCCAACTGGTGATATTTAAAACAGTGTACAGTTAACCCATGCTATAACAAACAATTCACTGATTTTATCAACCTTATCACTCAAGCTTGAGCTGCATTTAGGCTGTGTCGTTTCATAGGCTCTGTACATAATGGTCACATGGCTATTAGAAACATGGGTAAACCTAAGTGACAACACAATTGGGTAACCAAATGTTTTTGAGGACCTTTGAAATGTTCATGGGTTCCTGTGTTTTAAAGAACTGAAGCCATTGCACCCTCCCAACTCAGGACCTAGCTCAGACACTGCACGGCCATTGGCATGCACCATTAAAGCTTTTCTGAAGAGTGCAGTCAGTCATTGGCTGTAGCACAGTAAAGGGACAGTGGTATTCTGTGAGCCTGTGCACCAGGTTTCTGTAGAGTGCAGTTAGTCATTGGCTGTAGCACAGTAAAGGGACAATGGTATTCGGTGAGCCTGTGAACCAGGTTTCTGTAAAGTGCAGTCAGTCATTGGCTGGAATACAGTACAGGGACAGTGGTATTCTGTGAGCCTGTTGTGCACCAGGTTTCTGTAAAGTGCAGTCAGTCATTGGCTGTAGCACAGTAAAGGGACAGTGATATTCTTTGAGCCTGTTGTGCACCAGGTTTCTGTAGAGTGCAGTCAGTCATTGGCTGGAATACAGTAAAGGGACAGTGGTATTCTGTGAGCCTGTGCACCAGGTTTCTGTAAAGTGCAGTCAGTCATTGTCTGTAGCACAGTAAAGGGACAGTGATATTCTGTGAGCCTGTGCACCAGGTCTCTGTAGAGTGCAGTCAGTCATTGGCTGTAACACAGTAAAGGGACATTGGTATTCTGTGAGCCTGTGCACCAGGTTTCTGTAAAGTGCAGTCAGTCATTGGCTGTAGCACAGTAAAGGGACAGTGACATTCTGTGAGCCTGTGCACCAGGTCTCTGTAAAGTGCAGTCAGTCATTGGCTGTAACACAGTAAAGGGACAGTGGTATTCTGTGAGCCTGTGCACCAGGTTTCTGTAAAGTGCAGTCAGTCATTGGCTGTAGCACAGTAAAGGGACAGCGGTATTCTGTGAGCCTGTGCATCAGATTTCTGTAGAGTGCAGTCAGTCATTGGCTGTAGCACAGTAAAGGGACAGTGGTATTCTGTGAGCCTGTGCACCAGGTCTCTGTAAAGTGCAGTCAGTCATTGGCTGGAATACAGTAAAGGGACAGTAGTATTCTGTGAGCCTGTGCACCAGGTTTCTGTAGATAGCAGTCAGTCATTGGCTGTAGCACAGTAAAGGGACAGTGGTATTCTGTGAGCCTGTGCACCAGGTTTCTGTAAAGTGCAGTCAGTCATTGGCTGTAGCACAGTAAAGGGACAGTGGTATTCTGTGAGCCTGTGCACCAGGTCTCTGTAGAGTGCAGTCAGTCATTGGCTGTAGCACAGTAAAGGGACAGTGGTATTCTGTGAGCCTGTGCATCAGGTTTCTGAAAAGTGCAGTCAGTCATTGGCTGTAGCACAGTAAAGGGACAGTGGTATTCTGTGAGCCTGTGCACCAGGTTTCTGTAAAGTGCAGTCAGTCATTGGCTGTAGCACAGTAAAGGGACAGTGGTATTCTGTGAGCCTGTGCACCAGGTCACTGTAAAGTTCAGTCAGTCATTGGCTGGAATACAGTAAAGGGACAGTGGTATTCTGTGAGCCTGTGCACCAGGTTTCTGTAAAGTGCAGTCAGTCATTTGCTGTAGCACAGTAAAGGGACAGTGGTATTCTGTGAGCCTGTGCACCAGGTTTCTGTAAAGTGCAGTCAGTCATTGGCTGGAATACAGTAAAGGGACAGTGGTATTCTGTGAGCCTGTGCACCAGGTTTCTGTAGATAGCAGTCAGTCATTGGCTGTAGCACAGTAAAGGGACAGTGGTATTCTGTGAGCCTGTTGTGCACCAGGTTTCTGTAGAGTGCAGTCAGTCATTGGCTGTAGCACCTGAGCCTGTGCATCAGGTTTCTATAGAGTGCAGTCAGTCATTGGCTGGAATACAGTAAAGGGACAGTGGTATTCTGTGAGCCTGTGCACCAGGTCATTGTAAAGTGCAGTCAGTCATTGGCTGTAGCACAGTAAAGGGACAGTGGTATTCTGTGAGCCTGTGCACCAGGTTTCTGTAGAGTGCAGTCAGTCATTGGCTGGAATACAGTAAAGGGACAGCGGTATTCTGTGAGCCTGTGCATCAGGTTTCTGTAAAGTGCAGTCAGTCATTGGCTGTAGCACAGTAAAGGGACAGTGGTATTCTGTGAGCCTGTGCACCAGGTCTCTGTAGAGTGCAGTCAGTCATTGGCTGTAGCACAGTAAAGGGACAGTGGTATTCTGTGAGCCTGTGCACCAGGTCTCTGTAAAGTGCAGTCAGTCATTGGCTGTAGCACAGTAAAGGGACATTGGTATTCTGTGAGCCTGTGCACCAAGTCTCTGTAAAGTGCAGTCAGTCATTGGCTGTAGCACAGTAAAGGGACAGTGGTATTCTGTGAGCCTGTGCACCAGGTCTCTGTAAAGTTCAGTCAGTCATTGGCTGGAATACAGTAAAGGGACAGTGGTATTCTGTGAGCCTGTGCACCAGGTCTCTGTAGAGTGCAGTCAGTCATTGGCTGTAGCACAGTAAAGGGACAGTGGTATTCTGTGAGCCTGTGCACCAGGTTTCTGTAAAGTGCAGTCAGTCATTGGCTGGAATACAGTAAAGGGACAGTGGTATTCTGTGAGCCTGTGCATCAGGTTTCTGTAAAGTGCAGTCAGTCATTGGCTGTAGCACAGTAAAGGGACAGTGGTATTCTGTGAGCCTGTGCACCAGGTTTCTGTAGATAGCAGTCAGTCATTGGCTGTAGCACAGTAAAGGGACAGTGGTATTCTGTGAGCCTGTTGTGCACCAGGTTTCTGTAGAGTGCAGTCAGTCATTGGCTGTAGCACCTGAGCCTGTGCACCAGGTCTCTGTAAAGTGCAGTCAGTCATTGGCTGTAGCACAGTAAAGGGACAGTGGTATTCTGTGAGCCTGTGCACCAGGTTTCTGTAGAGTGCAGTCAGTCATTGGCTGGAATACAGTAAAGGGACAGTGGTATTCTGTGAGCCTGTGCATCAGGTTTCTGTAAAGTGCAGTCAGTCATTGGCTGTAGCACAGTAAAGGGACAGTGGCATTCTGTGAGCCTGTGCACCAGGTTTCTGTAAAGTGCAGTCAGTCATTGGCTGGAATACAGTAAAGGGACAGTGGTATTCTGTGAGCCTGTGCACCAGGTTTCTGTAAAGTGCAGTCAGTCATTGGCTGTAGCACAGTAAAGGGACAGTGGTATTCTGTGAGCCTGTGCACCAGGTTTCTGTAGATAGCAGTCAGTCATTGGCTGTAGCACAGTAAAGGGACAGTGGTATTCTGTGAGCCTGTTGTGCACCAGGTTTCTGTAGAGTGCAGTCAGTCATTGGCTGTAGCACCTGAGCCTGTGCACCAGGTCTCTGTAAAGTGCAGTCAGTCATTGGCTGTAGCACAGTAAAGGGACAGTGGTATTCTGTGAGCCTGTGCACCAGGTTTCTGTAGAGTGCAGTCAGTCATTGGCTGGAATACAGTAAAGGGACAGTGGTATTCTGTGAGCCTGTGCATCAGGTTTCTGTAAAGTGCAGTCAGTCATTGGCTGTAGCACAGTAAAGGGACAGTGGTATTCTGTGAGCCTGTGCACCAGGTTTCTGTAAAGTGCAGTCAGTCATTGGCTGGAATACAGTAAAGGGACAGTGGTATTCTGTGAGCCTGTGCACCAGGTTTCTGTAAAGTGCAGTCAGTCATTGGCTGTAGCACAGTAAAGGGACAGTGGTATTCTGTGAGCCTGTGCACCAGGTTTCTGTAAAGTGCAGTCAGTCATTGGCTGGAATACAGTAAAGGGACAGTGGTATTCTGTGAGCCTGTGCACTAGGTCTCTGTAAAGTGCAATCAGTCATTGGCTGTAGCACAGTAAAGGGACAGTGGTATTCTGTGAGCCTGTGCACCAGGTCTCTGTAGAGTGCAGTCAGTCATTGGCTGGAATACAGTACAGGGACAGTGGTATTCTGTGAGCCTGTTTGCCTCTTGGAGCATCTGTTTGGACCTGCACTGTTATAAAGTATCAGCAGAGTTGAGGCAAGGAGGCTTGTATGTTATACTTCCGTGAAGATCAGACACACACTAATACTGGTCAAGTCAGATAGAGGTGTAATCTTGTGTGTAGTTTGTCAGGATTAAACAAACACCAGACTTAAGCAGGATAATCCATGCCGGCTGAGTGCTGGGGGCTTCTGGGCAAGTTTTACATAGTCGGGGGTTAGGCCACACTATTTTTGTTGTTTTGGTATACAGATTGAACCGACCAGAGCCAAAAGCCCCAATTAGAAAATAAAATAAAAAATTATTTTTTTTTAGTTTAATTCACCTCACATTCCATTTTGGATGAATTAGAAAACAAAATGATACAAGTAAAAAATATATACCAAATTAGAGACTTATTTGTTAAATAATAATTCATCTAATGCATATAATGTAGTCTCTGGCCTCTGGAAATATTTTCTAAGAACAAATGTTGAGACTGGACGCAGAAACAAATTACACTGTGTCCCAAGGGATGAACAATAATATTCAGTGTACCTTCAGTGCATGAAGACCAGTAATGGGTGTCTGTCATTTCACCCATCAATCACGACCACTGTCCACAGGATCATTGCTTCATTCCAGGTTCAAAGTAATTATCAACCTGTACAGTACACTACACCTTCTTAGTTTGCAGGTCCCTCACATTGCCTGCAAGGACCCTTAGAAGTAATTATCAACCTGTACAGTACACTACACCTTCATAGTTTGCAGGTCCCTCACATTGCCTGCAAGGACCCTTAGAAGTAATTATTGGGGGTCCCTGGCCCCCACTTTTGTAAGTCAAGGTTAAACCCTGCATACTACTGCAAAAATACTAAGCATCATTATGAATTATTAGTAGATCTAGTGTTAACATTATATTTCCCCCCTAAGCAGACCAATGCAAACAAGTTCATGCCAAATAAGAAATGAATATTGACTTACAGGTTTGTTGTTAGCTTTTCTTCTACTGACTCAAGTGTATCCATGGGTCAGCACAAATCTGTAAAACGATAAACAAAATTATGTGTGGCCTGCACAGGTCTGAAAGTAGCATCAAAGTCAGTGTGAATGAAGATAGGACAACCTGTGTATGTAGTCATGTTTGTGACTTGAGGATTTCTGTTCTATCTGCATATTAAACCCAAGTCGCTCATGTTAAACATTAAGGTGTGTTAGGGTGGCACAACAGTCACTATCAGGGTTCATAATGATTAGGTCCAGGTTGATTCCTGATGGCACTGTGTACAATGTCCCTTGTGTCCACTGTCCAACACTATAATACAATGTAAAACTCACTCATTCACTCCCTCCTAAGTTAAGATGTGTTAGGGTGGCCCAACAGTCAGTATCATGACGCACATTGGTCCAGGTTGAATCCTGATGTACATTCCATTGTCTCATGTGGTTTGGTGTGTTCCTTTGTCATATACAGTGGAACAAAGCTGTCCCACTGCCCTTCTCCCTTACTAGATGTGATCCCTGACCTTCAGAGACTAACAGACATGGTCTGTCATTAAATGAAGTGCATGTCTGCTTTCACCAAGCAGAAATTTAAAATGAGTGCAGAAATTCTGTGTCATACTAAACCAGGTCTATTTCATATTCATACATTCATCCCACTTGCATGAACAGATAGTCTGCCTCACAGTCCCTGAATCATATTCTTTTCCCTTCTGCCCAGCCCTTTCATTAAAACAAAAGCTCTACATGAAGCAAGTCTAGATTAACCTCTGGTTCTGAATCTCCAATCTGACATGGGCTCCTTTTCTATTTAAATGGAGTTATTTTTTTTCTTTTAAATTATATATTTTCAGAGACTAAGCATAAGTCTAATGAACAGACACCACAGACAAATTTGAAGGAGTGCACAATCCCTCTTTTAACCAGTGAAACGTTCTCAGCTGATGTCACCCACTGATGGACCTCGTGCTTGTAATAACATGTCACAACTCCTAGGATCCACTGGCGCATATTATCAATATTTAAAACAATTACCTTCTTTTAGCAGCTTCTTATTTTGGCCCAAACCTATAGCCTATCCTATACTAAAATATATTACAACAAATCACAAGCTCCTAGTTGAGACTGGTCGCTAGACTGGCATTGCCAGAGAAAACAGACTGTGTAATTTATGTGCCTTTTCTGCCGTTGGGGACGGGTTTCACTATATTTCCTGCTGTGAGGCATTTCATTATTATAAATCATTGTATACACCACAAAATTAATATTTATAATTTCCAAACATATTTACATTTAAACGCCTATTTTGTCCTTTCAGTTTTAAAGAAATAAAATGATTGTCAAAATTTATCAGTGAAATATTCAACAGTTACAAACTCACAATTTATGTTAGCCATTCTTATGTCTTGTAAATTTATAATAATGTTCTATTTTGTTATTTGTTCTTGCACCACCTGTGGTGGTCTTTATGGAGAAATAAAAGTGCTTAGGAGGTTGTGGGTTGATTGACAGATTCACCTGGTTATAATCCTAGTTGAATCAGATCCTTGCTTGTCGATGGGTTTCATTCTTCCCAGGGCAAGGGAGTTAACTGACTATGAAAGTCCAGTTTCCACCCTTGCCAAACTAGGCTGGAATTATGGAGTTATGTATGGGCTGGACTAACAAGTCTATGCCCTGTCCAATACAAATCGCTTTATGAAATTGACATCCGGTTCGTAAAATGCATTTTAGGCCTTCCTCTGTCAGTAAGACACTGTGATGTAACTGCAATATATCATTGAAAGCAGTGTTATACCTCTACTCATGTCAAAGAATTCCTAGAGAAATGTTTTCCTTCAGTAGTATGTCATTCCCAGCATGTACATGATGTTGATTTATCTTCTGTTTCAGAACCTGCAGAAGTAGACCTGGATGATGTGGTGAGTGTACATTGACACACAACACAACACATGTGTATAAATGATGACACGCAATGCACTTCAGCGCATATTGCATCATCTTCCCTAGGCAAGGGAGTTCACTGGCCTGTAAAAGTCCAGTTTCCACCCTTGTCAAACTAGGCTGGAATTTCTGGGCTCGATCATAGTGCCACCGGTGGCTATTATGAGTTATGTCCCTTCTATGTCCCTCCTATTGACCAGTAAGAGTCCACCTCTCCTACCATTTGCATTTGCTTCAAACAAAATGGTGGCACCCAATCAAGATGATCTTGCACATTTGGGCTGTAGTTCATCTCTCACAAGATCGCAGATATATCTGATGCTTGCCTTCCCAAAATGGTAGCGGGCCCTTACTTCTTCATCGCTCATGGATTCGAGGTGATGATTTCGTTTTCTGAAAATACGGTCTTTCCTTGTGCATCCTAAGCATTCAAACAATATGTTATGGCATGTTTGTTTTTAATGACACGCTAATGATGCCCCAGAACCTTCATTAAGTTAATCACTCGCTAATGAGAGCACAACATCATTAAAACGTTAGTACAACTGGATTTAATGATACATTAGTTAATGAAGGTTTAATGACACTTTAATGCATCATTAAAGTTTGATACAACCCGGTCCTGATCAATAATCTAATTCTATATTGTGATAAAACAGGTCTTACTTAGCAAAGTGCATCAAGTCATGTGAGCACCTTGATTAAAAACATGAAATGATTTGGAAGATTCTGTTGATGTCAAGTTGGCGGTACACATGCTTTGTAAATCCTACAATGCACAGCAGTTTACAAAGCTGATGTCGATTTTGTTAGGCAATTTTGATTAGACTATGCATAGACACATTAGCCCAGCTAAAGTGAAAGTCAATTCTTATAATTTTGTTCTTATAAACACTATGTTTTAGCTGATGGGATGTAGACCTACATCTATACAAATTATATTTAGTACATGTGACTTCATGTTTACACTGACAGTAATACAAAAAACATCTTTATCGCAGATTAAAATAGTTCCTCAAAACGAGAGGCGTATGTATGCTCAACATGCTCTACAGGAACAACTTTTGTAGTTTCTTTACATCAAATATATTCAAATGATATGCTCATTAAATAAGAAAAGTCTGTAAAGAACTACCTCAGTAAGTCAGTCACTGCGATAGCGCGTTGTAATACATTTACATCAAGTACAAACGTCAAAATGGCCGACACGACAAACGTGATGGGAGAGATACTGAAGTTGTTCATGAACCTGTGGCTGTTACAAGTGTTAATCATCACTGATCAATTGGCCAATCATTAAAAGGTGATTGTGAAGATGTGTCCAATAGATACTAAGGTAAATTCATAGATTGCTGTAGACTGCCACTGTAGTCTAGACATGGATCGAGTCAATACTATGATAGTTTGGATGTGATTTTCTAAGTGTTGTTCTCTAGGATGGGTTTTAGCCAGGATATCCTTGAACGGGCATGTAATCAATTTCCCCAGGAATGTGTAAATAGTTTGTCAGCTTTTACGTCATTTCAAGAATACAGTCTCGTGAAAAACATATTGACGTCAAATTGTGTCGTTCATACACTTATGAACTTCAGTTTCGCAGTCATGTGACCGACCTTTCGTCTAATGGAAAAGCTGTATATCATGTAAACTTCACATTAAAAAATTGTAACATCAGCCATATATTCAGATGACCCTTCCTACCAGGGCTGGGATGAGTCCAAATTTACTACATGGGTACCTGATCCCTATTACCCAATCCTTGGATTGTTCTACAGCACCCCTAGAATAAAACTGTTTAGATACACATATAAAATGATCTGAAGATGGTGCATACACTGAAGCTGACAGAAGCTTTGTCTTTACTTAAAACATATAAAAGTCAGAAGGAATGCATGCATAGTCAGAAGGAATGTGAACATTAGCGATTAGTTGTGTAACCACATTATTGTCATTGGTCTAAGTGGTCCAGAGAGTACCCCGGTACTACTCAGGGCCTCCCAACCCGAGTTACCCTCTCAGGCCTTCTTCCTACATCAAACTCTTTCAGTTATGTAATGGTGTGTTAAGGGAAATGTCAGCCTGTATCAGAGGCCTAGAGGGTTTACAGATGAGTTGTGAAGACTTGACTTGGAAAGTATCCTCTTGTCAATGAATATACGTTAAATATGTGATATATCACTCAATGAATCGATACAGAAAGATGAATTATAGTGTGTAAAGACATGAATTAGATAAGCATAAAGAGTCACACACAATCACAGGCTGTCACAGGATCAGTCATGGTCCACGCCATCAGACACAAGCTCGTGTGCCCCCACGGAGAAGCAGGTCCTTGTCTGGCAGAAACTAGCTTCACAATCAGCTCATAGTGTTAAACTGAATTATGTCAGATCACTGCCTCATCATCAGTTATTCTGCCATAAGAAATCAAGTTGTTATTACAGAATACATTTTAAATAATATTGTGTCGCATGTACCATTTCAGAAGGAACAGAATATCTCGTGCTCCACATCAGGACACAAGTTGTCCTCATAATGTTGACTTATCATGACATCAGACAATTTATATGGCCCCGTACATGGCACCCTCCCGAATGTGTTGTTCTTTCATGTAGCCCTCAACAAGTACCAAGTACTGCTTGTGGACTTTTCAATACAAATTTTCATAAAGCCCTTGATTGGCATTCTGGTAGTTAATTATTTGTTCCCACCTCCCTACCACACTTAGTGACCCATGAACATCCCGGTTACACTTGGTCTTCAGCAACCCATGCTTGTCGTAAGAGTTGATCAACGGGATCAGCAACCCATGCTTGTCGTAAGAGTTGACCAACGGGATCAGCAACCCATGCTTGTCGTAAGAGTTGACCAACGGGATCAGCAACCCATGCTTGTCGTAAGAGTTTACCAACGGGATCAGCAACCCATGCTTGTCTTAAGAGTTGACCAACAGGATCAGCAACCCATGCTTGTCGTAAGAGTTGACTAACAGGATCAGCTGGTCATGCTTGTCGTAAGAGTGGACTAACAGGATCATCAACCCATGCTTGTCGTAAGAGTTGACTAACGGGATCAGCTGGTCATGCTTGTCGTAAGAGTTGACCAACGGGATCAGCAACCCATGCTTGTCGTAAGAGTTGACTAACAGGATCAGCTGGTCATGCTTGTTGTAAGAGTGGACTAACAGGATCAGCAACCCATGCTTGTCGTAAGAGTTGACTAACGGGATCAGCTGGTCATGCTTGCTGACTTAGTTTGATGCATGTCATCATATCTCAATTGCGTAGATTTCTGCTCATGATGTCAATCACTTGACTGTCTGGTCCTGACTTGATTATTTACAGACTGCCGTCAGACAGTTGGAATATTGCTGAGTGCAAAGTAAAACAACAAACAAACAAACACACCACACTTTGTCTTACAGCCCTGGCTAGGTTTCACCCATGTGTCAGTGCTATTGTTGTAACCAGGTTCTTGTTATCAGGTGTCCCCATGGCTGACTAGACAGGTCAGTTGGAGTCGGAGTAGCGGTCACCTAGCTCATGGGGACTCCTCCCCGGCAGGCAGGGATCATGTTCTCACTTCGCACACTACAACTTAATTTGTCATGACAATGTCAGCGTAGAGACCCAGGTTGTTCTTATTGAGGCTATGTTTTGCCTCTGCTTGTGGTAGCAATAGAGACTGATTTCTTTACCAAAGTCGATCCCCTGTCTAGGAGCAACCACAGCCATGTGTACACCGAACGTAGCCAGTGGACCATGACGGTCCCACACTTCCAGTTGTGGTCGTGGTAATGTTCATGAATGTCCTTTATCCTGTACATTAGTTGCAATGGAGGTCGTTCAGCTCCGAGACATATCTGTGATCGCATGCTGAGCTGTACATTGTTCCGACAATCTCTTATTTCTCTTTGCATTGATGTTTGATCAATCACAAGGATTAAAGTGTAATACCCAATATTGTTGACAAGACACGCTGGGTGGTGAGAGATTGAGTTTACTCACTTTATAACTGCTTGATCACAGTTTAACAGACTTCAGTGCTGCCCACTGAACCTCAAGTCCCATGTCTTGGATATCTTGATGCTTCAAATAGAACATAACTGACTGTAATTTACATATTTAATCACAAACTTGAAATACCCTTAGGTTTGAATGGAAGCATTAAACAACAATATATGAAAATATAATATCTGTTCTGAATACAATAACAAACTGCTGATTGTTGGAACCACTTTCATTATTACCAACAATTCTGATTTATTTTGGGTATTACAGCAGGTATTCAGTTTTATTCAGGTAATACTAAATATTATGTATAAAATAAGGAAAGCCACCCAGATCTTACGCCCTTCTCCCATGACATGCAACTATGATCTTTCTTCTCCCATGACATGCAACCATGATCCTTCTTCTCCCATGACATGCAACCATGATCCTTCTTCTCCCATGACATGCAACCATGATCCTTCTTCTCCCATGACATGCAACCATGATCCTTCTTTTCCCATGACATGCAACCATGATCCTTCTTCTCCCATGACATGCAACCATGATCCTTCTTCTCCCATGACATGCAACCATGATCCTTCTTCTCCCATGACATGCAACCATGATCCTTCTTCTCCCGTGACATGCAACCATGATCCTTCCTCTCCCATGACATGTAATCATGATCCTTCTTCTCCCATGACATGCAACCAGGATCCTTCTTCTCCCATGAGATGCAACCATGATCCTTCTTCTCCCATGACATGCAACCATGATCCTTCTTCTCCCATGACATGCAACCATGATCCTTCTTCTCCCATGACATGCAACCATGATCCTTCTTCTCCCATGACATGCAACTATGATCCTTCTTCTCCCATGACATGCAACCATGATCCTTCTTCTCCCATGACATGTAACCATGATCCTTCTTCTCCCATGACATGCAACCATGATCCTTCTTCTCCCATGACATGCAACCATGA